AGATGAAACAATTTAAAAACTGTTATTCTCTGCTTAAACAAACATTACCTCTGAATTTCGGCATTTATTACAAGGCTTACTTGACGTTGCCATTGGCTAACAATTCAGTTTGGTTTATTTTCCCCATATTCATGTTTTTATTTATTTATTTATTTTGCAAAGCTATTTCAAATGGTAATTGTTTGATTTAAAACTATAAGATCATTTCACCTCAGACCACATCAAGCACAGATGATCTCTTAGTGTGGGTGTGGTCACGTTTGTGTTGCTCTATATTTGCACCCACAACTAACAGTGATGTCATCAGTGGTGATCACTGAAGCATGATAGAAATTTTAAAAACAGCAGATACTTTTCCCCCCGAACAAAACAAACAAACCTTGTTTTCCTCCAGGAATTTCAGTTTGATGGAGACGTCACTACGAAGTCTTTCATATTTCTCTCTGTGGTGCTGGTACTCTTGCTGAGCCATCTCAATGCGAACCATGGCAGCTGCATCCCTCGGGCCCAAGCTTAACTCCTCCAGATCAGAACGATACGCATCAAACTCAAGTCTGCACACATCAACAAATGAAAATAATAATAATAATAATAATATATAAGCAGACATTTACAGACCAAACCTCTAATACTTAATTCTGAACCAAGATGTCAGGATTTCTCACCTTGCATTTTCATACTGCTTGATAGTCATCAAAGTATCCTCCATTGTTTTATTGACCAGGGTGTTCACACTGGACACGAAGAAGTTGATGGCACCAAGCAGAGACTCACCGTTCTTGCACAGCAGCTTTTGTGTTTCTGCATTGTACCCAAATTCATCCTGCACACGAATACGGACGTTTTACCTACAAATTTCAAACGATCCACATGAAGTGTTTCGTCAGTACCGCACCTGCAACTCTGGTGACTTCTGGCTCAGGTCGGTGAAGGTGTCACCTAGAGCCTGTTGCGTCTGCACCATGTTTTGAAAGTGAGTGATGAGCGCTGTTGCCAGTCTTAGGATGCTTTCGTACTTGCTCTTGGTATCCCTCAACACGTCAATCTGAGCTTCCAGTTCCAGGTCCACTGTTCGAGAACCTCTGCCAAACTTCTCTGAGAACATCTGCTTTGTACACTAAAAAAGTGTAAAGCGAATAAAAATTACATTAAGCACAGTGTACATTTTAGCACATATCAAATGAAATAAACCAAAGTATACTTAAATAAACAGAACAGATATTTACAGGCTCTACTCTTTAGGCCTACACAGGTAATTACAGTTAATTCCACCCTCAAGTACTGAGAGCTGATAAACCTAGGGCCCTATAAACCATAGGGGTGAATAAAGTCAGTAATCTAAATACTGATCAATACATTTGATCTGGTGCTGTGTAAACAGAGCTAACACATGTAAAGTGAGGTTCAAGTCTGACATATCTTTCTTCCTTTTATTATTTTTTATATTAATCATCAATAGATGTATTACATGCATATATTTTCTGGAACAATATTTTAAATATTTACTTCAAAATTGTTTGACAATACACTGAAACCACATGTAGAAGCAGAGTGACTAAAGTAACACACTGATGACTCTTTAAAAATACACAGTCTGCAATACCTTGTATGTGTTAATGCCCCATTTCTTTACACTGTCCAGTTTTTCCACAGCTACACCCCGAGAAATCTCTTCAGTTGAACCGGTGTTATGATTCATAGACCCTAAAAGAATTTAAAAAATCATACAATATTAACAAACTACATTGCATAGTATCCAAATGAAGTTTTCAAAGTGATGGTTTATTGCATGGATGACAATGAGTGAAGAAAATATGGAGATGATGACAAGCTTAGTGATACCTGGATGCTGGTTAGTCTGATGGGCAAGCTGACTGGCTGTAGAATGACTCTGAGACAAGTTAATGCCCCTGGATTTCATGCGAATGTCTGAAATAATGGTCACGATGAAGAGTGAAAATGAGAAGAGCGAGGTGAAATGTATTTACAGAAGCCTGATAGTGTAGATGTACATGAGAAAATATAGGGAGAGAAAAAAACAGGCTGTAGGACAGAGAATGTGAAATAAGAAGGGGTTAAACAGTTTCAATGATGCAGTTTTATCATGCCAAAAAAAAAAATTTTAAATGAAAAGCATAACAATGAAATAGTGGCCATAATAAGATGAGAAGTAGATATCATTCAAAGCACATTTTACAGCCCAAAAGAGGTACATTCTTATTGGACAAGAACCCAACATCTTCAGAGACAGCGCTGTAATTTAATGTTAGTGCAACCGTATCTGTGAAAACTGCCAAAACATTTCTTGCTGAGGTCAAAAGTTTAGTCGGGACAAGCAAGGCTGCATACAGTTTTCCTAGTTAAGCAATACAAAAACTTCATAAAAAGGGAGGTCAAAAACCCAATATATGTAGTAAAGGTTAGGTAAGAAAACATAAAAAAAAGTGGTCAGAATACAAAGCCACCTGGTCTCGGTGCAGGGGCTCGTCTTCTGTCCAGATACTCAGGGTTGTAGTGAACTGCGGGTCCTATGAAATATGATGTTTGTCATATTAACCAGCAGCACAGAGGTCAGCAGCTCTCTGCACGGCGACGCATTAATATATACGGAGGAAGTGTTCTTGTCAAAGGTTTATTAAGTATTGATCTATTTCAGCTACTGAAGGATTGCAACAACTCTGAACAAAACTCATGGCAGACTGTGTAACTGTGAAACAGACAGTGGACAGAACATTGTACTGCTTAACGACTTATCGGTCAACAAAAATATTATTTAGATCATATGTTTTTATCCTAATAATAGGCTGTGAAACAGTCAATCTTACCTAATGCACTTTTGTATATGTAACATCTTTATAGCACAAACTGTGCGTTTTTAACAAAATATAAATTAGATTCGCAAACGTTACCTTTGATGGCGCTTGTAGGAATGATGCCACCTGCAGGTCCTCCATAACCTCCTGAAACAATGCTGGTTTCATTTAAGTTGGGCCCAGACACCATGACCTGCTGCAAATCCTAAAAGATTGGCCAACAAATTAATATGATTTAAAAGGAAACAGTCAGAGACTTACAACTTTCTATGTTTTACACGAAATGTGCAAAGTACCGAAAGAAAAAAAAAGACCAAAATTGTAATTTTTACATTAACATCCTCTTGATTTATTTTATCTGAACCAAGATAAAATGTAAAGACATGAGCAGGTTCCTTGATGAATGTTAAGAATGTCCAAGCGTTTTCAGTGGTTACAATACGATTAACCAGTTACCTTTCAATAAATAACTTGTAATAAACCTTTATTCACCTCAAAGATCAAGTTTGTTATTGAAGAAAAAGTTGTATTGTCTTTGTACGCTCTTACCATTTCTACAATGAAAAACTAGTATGTGCTGATAAATCAAATTGACCATTTAGCTGGATTATAAGTACTTGCAAGCATTAATTAACACTCCATTTGGTTATGTCATGGCTATCTCTTAGGGCAGTAGGGCTGTGTATTGGCAAGAATTTGGTGCTACGATACATATCATAACAGAGGGGTCACGATACGATATATCCCAATATATTGCGAAACTGTAAGCAAGGCGAAATATTGCGATATATTGCGATTTTTTTGTCCAAAAATTCTTTTAAATAAAAGCCTCTTACTGAAAAAAAAAGAAAAAGAAAAGCTAATGTTTACTCACAATGCTAATGCTACCCTTACTCTCTGGCGCTCAAGAGGTAGAGGAGACAAATGGCTGGCTCACTGCTGCCAACTAGTGGTCAGAGGCTGAACTACAACATAAAAATGAACGGTTGGCAAGAAGGTTGACATTTCAAACCTTAATTAAAAATCGATACAGGGCTTTAGAATATCGATACAGTATCGGGAAATGAAATATCATGATATTTCAGTGTATCGATATTTTCTTACACCCCTATAGGGTAGTAAATAAAAGGTAATTTGGGGAAATGTTCCTACGTTTGATAAATGTAGATTCACATTGTTCTACAACAGGGTTGCCCAAATATTTTCCCCGAGAAGGCCAAAATGAAAATCTATCCAGGGCAGCGGGCCAAATACAGTAATATAATACATGAAATACAAGTACATTTTAAAGTAAAGTCCCTTATTTTTAATGATTAAGCTATGCAATAGCCCTCTTTTGTTTTAGTTTGTGCACTTGGAGAAAATCTGCCATTCGCTCAAGTAGGAAAGGCTCATGGGACATATCATAAATTGATAAAATTTGAGTTTTTGTGGCCTTATAAAGTGTGCAAATCTACATGTGTGGTTAAATCTGAACAAAATATTTCTTGTCATTTCATGTTTCATGTTTAATCCTAAAAAAAATCAAAGATAAAGTCAGCACAATGAATGAAAACTACCTTCACTACAGGCCTTTTATATAGTCATTTGACCAATGGAAATACTGTGTATATACATAGGATAATAGGTTACAACCTTGTAACTTTGGCAAATGTTGGTGGGCCAAATCAAATGGCTTGGCGGGCCAAATTTGGCCCGCGGGCCCCACTTTGGGCTCCTCTGTTCTACAATAACCAATAAAAACAATGTTGATTTAGAGGATAATCACATTGTGTTTGGAACCAAAATTACAACTGAGTCATCACCGTAACATACCTACTGTTATTATACCATTACTATAAATTGAATTATATCATTCTTGCCAGGCTGCATTAGATTAAGATTAAACAAATAAAGCTGTATAATCACAGCACAAAAAAGAAGAAGAAGAAAAAGCTTAAATAATTTATGCCACAGTTGTTTAACTCCTTAATGGACAGTTTTGCAGGTGTCAGATATAATAGTAAAAGCTTGATAATGTTGCAGGCCTGTGCATGGGTAGCTAACATTTGGCCTCAGTAGCTTCCAATCAGACAACAGATTACACAGAATAAGCATAAATGACAATGTCTATGTGTCATATAGTGAAGTGAAATGAAAGGTAGCGTGACTGACCTGCTCCAGGCTGTCATCCTCTGCAAGTGTCCCTGTATCTCCATTTCTGTTAATGGGGATCTCCATGGTAGCAGCCTTGCTCATGATATTGTCTGCCATAATGAAATATCTGTAAAATCAGCACCGACACGAGAAGGTGATTTTTTTTAAACTTTCACAAACAGTTAATTTATATTTGCTTTAATCCACATGGAGAGAAAAGAACAGCCGCTTGCTTACAATGATGCTAACGTATCGGAGTAGCTGCAGCGGTGCTGATGTGGCTGGTTGGCGCTACCTGACAAGCTAGCTTACAATCCTCAGCAATGTACTGGGAAAGAAAATCCAGTCTTCAGAAAAAGACACAACTCGCAAATGCACCGTAAGTAAGCTAAAACAAAAAAAAACTAACAACTCAACCAAAAAGCGCCATTATTTCAAACCAATTACTCCACGCAGAATGCATTATTTATCCAAAATCTTTCACATGACTAGCTGCTGTTATTTAATTATCCCTGCATCTAGCCAGCTAGCAAATTTAACTGTGTCGTTTCAAAATAAAAGTTTGCTTGATTTTTATTTCATTATACGCACCGTGTACGGGATTGTAAAATCTAATAGCTGAATGTAAGAATTTACTCTATCGTCGTTTGGTGCTATGGGTAAAAAACAAACACCTGGAATCAAAATACATTTCAAGATGCTCTTACTTTGAAGTGTAATACCTTTAAAACAGCATCATCCTGAAACTTCCTCCCCCGCACCATCTTCCACGTCAAATTGTTGACGTAGCTTTCCACCCTCGTTGCAGTATTATCAGGCGCCTGAAGAGGTCACCAAAAGTTGATAAAATGATAAAACTCATAAGTTACACTTTCTTTAAGGCTTCCTCACTAAATATAAGTTCTTTAGGGCTCTGACTCTTGTATTAAGCAATGAACTAAAGATTGTTGCTACTTTAGTTATTGCACTGATGTCAGCACTTTATAAAATCAAAATGTACTATACTGACCAGTACAGTTGCTTGTTTTGAGCTATGACAAGCCTGAAGACACACCTCATTCTAATTATCTGACCACACTTTAAATTATTTGCCTCATTTGTTTCAATCAGGGTTGCAAGAAAATTGCACATGGTTTCCAAATGTGGTTGTTTTTCTGTAATTACTCATAGTCTGAGAACAGAACCATCCTTCAAACACACACGCACACACACGTATAACATGTTTTAGCCTTTTTTCTTTACCAAGCATCTATATTTTCGTGTTGAGAAAATACTTGTTTTCAAAGTTCTGCTAAAAAAAAAAGACAACTGATCAAAGTGAGGAAAATGCAAATGATGATGTTGTGGTATTTTTGTTTCCATTCTAATCAATAAATGAGCGTGTCAGAGATTTGCTGAATGGCATGATTGCAGTTTGGGGATGGCAACGTCTTCTGAAATCAAACCGTGAAAATGAAATTGTTTATTCTGAAATGTGAAAAGCCTGAAGAAAGACCTCAGGTGACTGTGCTGCCAGCAATCACATTATTTGTCCCATTTGTTTCAATTTGTATCACTTATGCTTTTGATCCTACTAGTTAATGTTTAGCATAATGTAGGACTGTTGCAAACTTTTTTGGCATTTTACTGTCAAGCTGCATGCACTTAGAAAGTTAAATTACCCATAAGTTGTGTGAAATGGCCCTATTAGACACACAGTGCCATCTTTCATGTAATTTATATTAAACCATGACTATATATTTAAATATATATGTATAGTCAAGTGATGATGTCAACATTTACATTCAGAGTATGAGTTTTGTAGAATCAGGTTGTTATGAAATTATATTTACAACTGATTAATGTTTGGAGTCAACCTGATTAAATATTGTTGCCACAGCTACGTGGCCTTAGCAAACACAAAAATGTCTAAAGCTCAGTCATTTTTACAAACATTAGCCTAAAATTTCAAGTGAGAGTGACAGGTAGTTCAAGCTCTAATTTAGATTTTTGTTTTACAAAAGCATTTTCCCATCTGTTTTGCAACAGAATGTCAATCAAAGATTTTGAAATTAAACAAAATCACAAATAAAACCTTTGATGATGGTACCCTTTTTGTTGTTGTTGTTTTACTTAGCTGTTTTTTTAGCAAAATTTTTTTCGATGATATTTTTAGTGGGCATTTAAAGATGAATTAACTTTTCAAATCTCTAGTCCATGTACCTCTGAACTCCACTATATCCATGGGCCTCCTGTTGTTCAGACTTTGAGAACAGTAAAACCAGTTCTTGTTTTTTTTTTTTTTTTTTTTTTTCCAAAGTGGAAGAGAGGGAAAATCTGTGCTGGAGTTCTATATTAGCACTGCACAAGATTACAAGCTGTAATTAAAGCTCATTAAGTCAGAGTTTAATTACAAATTCTCTCACGGTTCAACATATTGAAGTGATAAAACACCACAGATGCAGCTCTGCAACGGTTTTATTTTGTTACAAGGCCGTAATCAGGGTACAGTATACCATTCGTCAGGTTCCCTTTGCTTTTAATGTCGGATAAAAGCAACCATCAAGACACAAAATTCTCACGCAGGAGTATATAAATTTAGTGTTTTCCTATAAAATTAGAACAAGGCCGAATTAAAGTTTTAGAGATCTCAGGCGTGGTCTCCCTCTGAGATTGGGCTGCTTGTCACAAAGGCAGCGTGTGCATGTGGGGGAGCGTGAGACCTAAACCACAGTGCAACCCTCCCCCCTGCCACTTTAGAGAATCTTGCTTTTTAATGATCATTAAGTGTTGTTCCAGATGTTTGGAGGGAACTTCATCCTCAAACAGCTCTCTGTGCTCTTTGCAGCAGAAAACAAGGGTCTGGAATGAAACGTAATTTAGAAAAACAATGCAGTCTGCAATGAGCTTTTATTAATGTTGCTCAATTTTTTTTTACAGGAACGCATATGGAACTGATTTTTTTTAAATGGGACATTTAAATTTTAAACAGTCAATCAACTGGCAGTTCAATCATCAGGGACAAGAATTTATTATTATTTTGGATCTTTGGATGTGACTTTCAATAACAAATTTTCTAAAAAGAACATATTTCCAAAGATCAATAAAGTGTCAACTAGTGTTTTTACTTTACTGATGGTTACTCATATGGAAATAATAATAATATTTGGTTGGCAACAGTGAAAAAGAAATGATGCACCTTTGTGAAGTATATATATATATATATTTAGAAGCATACTACTTTGTAAAAGCAGTGACATGTTTTTGATTGACAGATGTTTTTAAATGAAATCTTGCTGACACAAAGACTGGTTTCATTTTCTACTTTTGAAGGTGTTGATTTGAGAATAAACACTTAGCTGTCAAAAGTGTTTTTTTTTTCAAATATTATTTATTTAGGCCAAGTCCCACACATCTGAAAGAAGTTATGTCTTAAAAGCAGAAAAAGAAAAACAAACAAAAAAATAAAAAGGCCACAGAATTATTTAGCGGGACAATTTGAATAGTTTTTACCCCAATTTTCACAGCAGATTATATTACGAGCCGACAATTTGGCAGCAAGCAAAATGATCTTGAGTAGATGGCGTGAGAGCAGTTGTCCCCGTAAAAAAAAATGACCACTTTGCTCTAATGTTTCCACTGAAAGTCATCTGCATAATCAGAAGATGACTAGGCTGCAAAAAATTTGCAAGAGCATTTTAGGACTCCCAAATCCCATAAGGGATTGTTGGCATTTTAAGTGACGTGTTAAAGTAGCCTTTTTTTTTTTTTTTTGCTTTCATGAATCTTACCTTTGGTTGGTCCACAGAAGCTGTGGTCAGGTTCTGCACGAAAGGCCGTGTTTAGGTTTTTTTTATACTGTTTACTTACTTTCTCATGCAATCTTGTGATGCAAGCTTCTAATTTTGCTGTGCTTTTTTCCCTCCCCACAACAATAAATTAGACATTCTAGAAAGCTGTTATGACCATATTTTGAAATTTATTGGTAACAAATGCAGTAGGGGTTGGAGGTTTTGGAAACGCAGTCACAAAAGCCCTCATTAAAACTGAAAAATGGATTAAAGATAAGCATTCATCCCAGATGAAATACAGCTCGAACCTGAGAGAGATCTGAGAACAATCGTTGATTTGATTCAAAGAGCACTTTGCACAATTCTTCCTTTAGAATACAGAATAAAAAGTTTACCACCAAAGAAAGAAATCTGTCATGATCTGTGTTTTTGCTTTCATTTTCTTGTGTTTCTGTGTTCCCCTGTGTATTTCTGCCCTGCTCCAGCCCCGCCCATGCTCACCTGTTTCCTCTTGTGTCTCCTCAAGGTGTTTCTTGTTCTTAATTAATTTGCTTTTATATTCTGCGTCCTGTGTTCAGTCTGCATCCGATTGGTTTTGTGCTGTTACTACCCAGTGTGGTTTGTTTTGTGTTCCTCCTGAGATTTTGTCAATTTTGCTGCCACGTCAGCCCTCTTTTGTTCTTTAAATAAAACTTTTTGTTACACTTTTTTTTATTTTTGCCTGCGCCCTGGGTTTTTCCACCTGCAATCCTCACAAAATCCAATTATCCATTACTGCCTGTTGAATCTGAGTTGATAATGTTTTTGCCTGTCTCTGTGTGTTCATTTGGCTGCAGCAAAACATCCCATCAAGGGGATAGGTTTTATACAAACTCGCACAAAGCAAATGTACAGGTAAAATACATTTAAAACACCATGCCTTTTAAGATTAATGCAATTCAATATGTTTGCCACAGTTAAGCGAACTTAACAACCACAAAAATTACTATATCTTGGACAATTTAACAAATGTTAAAGTAAAGCTTGGTGAGAAGCTTTCCCAATGCATACTGAGTGCTATTGTGTGCATTGTGGAATCAGTCCTGTTTGTCTCTTGGCAAAATGTCTTCTGAACCACAAATTTATGCAAAGTAATAGATTTACATCTACATCTAAATATTTTTTGGAGCTAGCCCAATTCAAAATGACTGCCACTGCGAATTAACCTCAACAACACAAAGGTGATTAAATGTCGGTCTGTTTTTGAAATAAATTTTGTGTAGTGTTAACTGATTGTCCTCTTCAACAAACACTTCAAGCACCATCAGATTACACTTGATCGTTTGGCGGCAAATGTAATGCATTCTTTAAAGAAATGCTTGAACTTTTTTTAATTTATTAAAAACAAAACAAATGATGTACATACAACAAATAATAATACAACACAAATAAAATGAAAGGTAGCAGAAAGAAGAAAAATATTCTCAGTGATATCTTCCCCTTTTTTAAAACAAATAAATTGAAACAATAAAAGTCTTCAAATAACAAAACATAATAACTTTAACGCCTTCTCAAACAACGGTTCTTATGAATGCACCTTATACAAATTCATATTTCTTCAACAATCTAACTTTTATCATTCTCTTAAATAAATTTATTGAGTGAGCATTTTTGTAATCACTTTCCAGATTGTTCCACAATAGTATCATCTGCAAATAATACACATTTAAGAAGCCCTGGCACATTTACTAAATCATTCAGATATAAAAGAAATAA